AGGCGCAGCACCCCGAGCTACTGCCCACCCCCACGGTGGTGGTGGTGGGGTGTTTGTGGGGGGGTGTGTGCCCCACTCCCCGTGTTTCTGGCACCCACGCAGGGCTGCTCCAACAAGAAGCTCCGTAACCCTCAATCACTCACAGCCCCCCCCCTACCCCGCGTTGCCCCCCCCCCCCCCGGGGGGGGTGGGCGGGTCCCGCCCTTCCCTCACAGGTGCTGGCGATTGGGTGGAATATGCAAATGCGGCGGTGACGTCAGGCGGCTCCGGCCCAGAGAGCAGAAATAGGGCCGGTCCGGCCCGCGCCGCGGACTCGCGCGCCGCCCCCCGCCCCCCCCGGGCCGCCCCGCCGAGCCTCTCCGCTCCCCCGGTGAGTGCGGGGGGTGGGTGTGCGTTTGGGTTTTTGCCTTTTTTTTTTTTTTTTGGGGGGGGGGGGGGAAGGGGGAATGGTGAGAGGGGAGCGGGGAGCGTCCCGCGGCTTCCCGCCCCGGGGTGGGTGTTGCGCGGAACCGGCCGCGCTGCCCCGCGTCGCTGCGCGCACCGCTCGTCCGTCCGTCCGTCCGTCCCCCCAACCCCCCGGCCTTACTCGGGTTGAGGGGAGCGCGCCCGCGGGAGCTGCGCTGCTTTCCCTCCGCTGCTTTTCCCACCGCCGGGCAGCCTGCGGGTGCTGCCGCGGAGCCCCGTCCGACCTCTCCGCGCCCGCGGAGCGGGCTCGGTAAACAGGTGGGAGCCCGCGGTGGGGTTGGGAGCCGGCGCGGTGGGACGGGCTGGGGGCTGAGGGGTTTGTGTGTGTGTGTCGCGCCCTCCGTGTTCCGCAGCGTGGGGAGCAAGGGGTGGCAACGCCGCGCGTGGGGTGGACGCGGCTCCCTCCCTTCGGCCGCGGGTGGGGTGTGTGGGGTGTTGGGGGTGTGTGTGTGTGTGTGTGTCCCCTCTCCCGTGCTGAAATCGCGGGGCTGCCGCCGCCTGTGGGGCGTGGGGCCGGGCGGCGCGTCCCGCCGCGGTCACGAGTGGGGCCGGCTCTTCCCTCCGCGGCCCCTGGGTGGCGCCGGCGGCCGCGCCCGCGGAGCACCCCGGCGGGGCACGATCCTGCGCCGGGACTCCCCCCCCCCCCCCCCCCCCCCACGTGCCCCGGGCGACCTTCAGCTGCGTCCGTCCGTGGCCAGCCGCCGGACTTTGCAGCCGGGAGCAGAGTAATATTTTATTATTATTATTATTTAATTTATAAGAGAAATCTACGCTACCTTCCCGCCTTATTGTGGTGGAAATAAACGGCTCCCCGGTGGCGCTGAGCCGGAGGGTCACGGAAAGGATGGTGCAACGCGACTTCTCTGAGTGTAACCTCAGAGCAAAGCTGTGACTGAAACGTGTCAACGTGTCACAGAGGCAGCCTTGAAAACAAAGGTTAAATACCTGTGAGGTTTAGGAGCCTCTCGGCAGCCCTTCATCCCTGCTGGATTCACGTCCCCCCAAATTTCTTCTGCGAGCGTTGGAGTGGCTTGGAGAATTTAAAAGATCAAATGAAATATTCTTAAGTATGCTGTTGGAATGCCTGTTTTGTACTTGAACATCATGGCTGATGCCACTGAGTTCTTAATGCATCAAAACTTTAAGTATTTATCTAAGATACTGCAGATAGCTGACTGAAATTGTTATTTGGCTTCATTATGCCTTGCTTAAAGGTTATCTTAAAACAGGTTTTCTCCTTAATTTTGTAGCACTTGTAGCGCCCAACAAGAAATTATGGACATCAAAATTATTTTGCAGGCCATAGAAATGCTGTTTAGATAAGGCTGAAGCAATTGGAACAGTTGATGGCAGAAGAACTAAGGACCAGATTTTTATCTGGTGTTAATAGAGCCAATTTATATCCAGGTAACGCTTTGGTCCGAATGCTTTCTGTTTGCTATAGCAACAGTCATAACTTTAGGTAATTAAGTTTTCAACCTCTTTCTTTCTAATGTGAAGCTTGTTGGAAATTATTAAAAGCTATTGTGAACTATTAATTTCTCGATACTGAAAAGAGCAGCAATTTAAGTAGCCCTGAAAAAAAAAAAAAAGATAACTGATTTTGGCAAGTTCTTTAATGTTATTACGGACATTGTAATTGAATTCTTAAAGCTTCCGTGATGTGGAGGAAAAAGTTGTGGGATCTCTGCAACAATCTAGCTGTTTGACAGCTCATATTGCATGTCACAGAAGTGCTTTAAACAATTTGTGGTGTTCTCCACTCAGGTGACCAACGTGATTAGTACCCTTCCTTTTTCAAGGTGACCCTTTTTTGCTTGAATAGCTCTAAAACCTGTACCCTAAACCCTGTGCCTGTATCTTTGCCTTGCATCTACTTGCTGTTGGTACTCTTCGTTTAGGGGCTTTGCACCGATTTTCTTTGTGAGCTGAGGCTCTCCCTGGGTGTTGGTGTCCACCCAAACCCACCCAAGGTGGGGGTGGGTGTTCTGCTGTGGCCACGGTGAGCCGTCGCGGTCGACCTTCTTCAGGGCATGTAGCACAGGGCTGCTGTGCTTGTGGTGGTATTTCTTGGTACAGCAAGGAGGGCTGTAATGCTGCTCTGGCTCAGAGGAAGAAACCACAGCCTTCAGTTAAACTTTTAGGCTTTGCGTAGTAGCTTCTTTAACAGAGGAGCCAAAATTGCTTTGGAAGGAATTCCCCCAAAACCAAAGGAAGTGTGTCACAAATGGTTGTGAGGCTCAACTTTACTTTAAAATAGTCTGGTTTAATTCTAGCATCTGCATTACACTTACTAATTTCTGCACTGCATAGTAGATTAAAATCTGTCTCCCTGATCATACACATTGTGAAGAGCAGGCGATAGACTACCCCTTCCACCCCCAGCTCTGGAGAGACTTCTAGTGTTTGGACACAAATGTCATTCACTTTTGAGTACAACTGCTTGCTTTATGCAGACATTTCCATATGCAAGCTTTAATTTACCTGGGCAGTGATGTCCATACAGGCTCACATCCTGCAAACCTGTCCCTCATTCAAGTGAGGAAAAGAAGTTGGTAGTAAAACTTGTCAGATTTTACAGTGGTGGTCTGGATCTATTCAATCAATTTGAATTTTTCTCTTGACTTCAGGGAACTTTAAACCACAATCCAGGAGCTGTATTTCATGATGCAGCTGCAGACCAGATTCTGCAAGGAGCCTTCTACTTAGCTCAGGGTAAGGCAATGCTGATCTGTGGTTTAGGATGCCAAGGGGCATGAAAATGCTGTATGATTTCAGAGTTAACCCTCACTTGATGATTTATGGTGCATATTTGTTGCTTGGTTTAGGCTCTACAGATATATAATGTATATTAGCGTGTCTTCCTCTTACTGTGAGTGAGAGCAATTAGTGTACTGTCAGTCAGTATGCAATAAAAATAAGTAATTTCTAAACTGACTAGAGAAAGATGTTCTACAAATTCCATTTATAAAACAGCTGGAGTTTCTAGCAGGTAGAAGCTGCCCTTTCAGTTTTGTCAGTGTTATAGGTGTCCTAATCCAAACACCATCATCTTCTCTAGCAGTTATTTACTAAATATACATGAAACTAGCTAGTCCCCTGTTTTGCTCTAGGATTGTAATTTCAAGCAGTGTATGAGTCAGAGGTCTCCAGAACTGCAAAGTGAAGTAGTTGTGTTTGCTGTGATGGTATCAACTAAGCATACAAAAGACCTCTATTAAAAACGGAGAAACAATGTTGCTGTGCAAGAGCAATTCATAATGTAACAATGTACTTGTCGCTTATTGATATAGTGACTTTGGTATATTAAACATTTATTTGTAGCCCCAGTAACATTACATCTGAGGTTTCTAATTGGAATTTGGAAAGCCTAATAAATTTTGATTTCATCCTGAGTGCTCTCAATTCATGGTGTTTACATTAGCACTGAGAAAAAGCAATGCCTGAACTCCCCGGGTGCACGGTGTGCGGCGGCTGTCGGCTCTGCTGGCTCCACTGCTGGTGTGTCTTTGGGCGGGCAAAACAACTGAGGCGACCAAGTCAGTGCTGGTGTAAATGGTCACGGCTCCAAAATTAATAACGATGCGCCAAGGCTCGGGTATGCCCTGCAGCAAATACATGGCAGGAAAATACTGTCAAATGAGTCCTGTCAAGACAAGGTATGTCATGGTAATTTAATTCAGCTAGGCTTAATTTAGCCATTAGCAGGTAGCTTGCCTTGTTAATGTATATTGGTCCAGCCAAGCATCAGCCTGTCACCTGCACGCTATGGAAATGCCAATGCTTGCTTTGTTAAGTGGTGTCGTGCTTCGTTACGGGTCCGTGTTAGCATCCTCTGCAGCTACAGTGAAAGGTCAAAACTTCCCTCACTACCACGGGGATGGTGCCAGGCCTGCAGACTCCTTTAGTATTTTCATTGTGAAAAGTAATGATGCAACCTGGTGTCTTCTTCCCTCAAAAGTTCAGATGAAGCACAGAGCTCTCCCAGCTGAGCTTCCAGGGCACCAGCACAGAGCTCCGCGTGTGTGAAATGCAGGGTAGTTCTATCTGACAACACTTTGAGTAGCTGCATTGCTTTAACTTCTGAATTCATTAAAAAAACCTAACAACAACAAAAAACAAACAAAACAACAAGAACGACAAAAAAACAAGCCCAAAACAAAAACAAAAAAAACCACACAAGACAAGAACCACTGCTCAAAGTGGATGCAGTTGTGGTGGACATCCTTGCATCTTCCCAGTCCCCTGCAGCTGGAGCAGGGCTGTGGAGGGTCACTGCCAGGGTGTCGGTGCTGCTGAGTAGGATGAGACTGGGAGGGACTGGAAATGTCTCTGGGACAGAGGCAAATGAGTGGAGGAACCACAGCCCCAGGAGGGGCTTACCTAAATCGTGGTTGGAGAAACACATCAGCTCTCTTCAGCACAGAATTTGTGTCAGGTCATGCAAGTTTTAGTGGGGTCGGTGACCATGTGGAGGAAGGACTGTTCCTGTGGTTTGGGGGTCAGCTGGCTGCCCCTGCAAACCTCATCGCAGCCTAAGGGGGTGGCAGTGGCTGTGTCTGCTCCGGGCAGCGTCATCCTTTAAATCCGAGGGGAATAATGATATCTTCTGTCATATTGCTGGAAGCTGCCAGTGGTCAAAGAAGTGAATGTGGGTGTCTGGGGCTTTCCCGAAGATCTGCCAAAGGTACAAGTGTGAGTGCCTGATTAGGAGGGACCCTGTGCTGCTGGGGCTTCTGGAGGCAGGATAAAATCATCCTTTGGCTTCTGCAGTACCGTAATATCATCTTCTGATGTGGTTTGCTTTTGGCCGCAGTAGTTCGGCTTAGAAATCCCAGGGCTCTGGTTCTGCAGGTGCTGTGTGGGAGTAGACTGGGAACAGCATGTCCCGTGGAGGATAGGTTTGGGGTAAATGTTTCACAAAGCTGCTACAATGTGGGAATTCATTGCACTAGTGGTTGAAAACCAGGAAAATCGGTGTTTTGCTGCATGTGCTGTGGGAGTCTGAAAAGCTCCATTGGCACCGACCGAGAGCGGACGGGTGCTGTCAGCTGAAGCTTCCACCGTGTTATTGCATCTGAGCTGGGCTTTGTTGAGATGACTGTTTTATGACCGTTCTCTTGTTTTCAACAGACGTGAAATGATGAAATCAAGAAGCTTTTGGTTATCTCTTGTATTGCTTGGGGTTTTCCCATCGGTCACGAGGGGATGGATGGACACGGACAGGAGCAGAAGGCTGTATTCGGATGTGGGGAGGTTGCATCAAGAGGTACTGTACACCAGCTGCTGCAGCAGCTACAACTCTTGTGTTTCTATTTTTGTGCTGTGTTCAGTCTCTTCATGCTGTGAAAATGGAAAATGAGTGAGGGCTTATCTGTGTATATTTGTATTAAACATCTGTAGAGGAGGATAATGAAGGAATAGTGAAGCAGAAGCTCTTACACTTTTTGAGCATACTCAAATTGTTCTGGGAGTGCAATTGTGCATCTGGCCATGGTGAAGGTGCTGTCTTTGCCCCAAAGACTTTGTGGTATGCTCTGTCCTAGGGCTGCTGGGACCAATGAAACTAAATTTAATAAGTAAATTTTGTCCTGGCTCTTCATTTGGGTCACTGGATGTTCACATGCAACCTGCAAAAAGTCATTTTGCTGCTTAAAAAAAAAATGAAAACTGAGATGAAGGTAGCCGCAAAGTTACTGTCCGGAACGTTTCTCTCCTGACTTTCTGATGTCAAACCCCTGTGAAGCACAAAGGGACCAAGGGGGCACGGTGTCCGTAGTGAGGGATGGCGATCTTCATCCAGCCGTGGAGGACCCCACGCCTGCCCCGATGGGGAGCTGGGACTTGTCGTGCCTTAGCGTGGGACGGTGCCACGCTCCTCCGCCTTCAACCCTTGGGACTGGGCCAGTGGAGAAGCGACTGAGCCCGTTCCCAGTGCTCAAGGCGGCAGCGTTGGCTTTTGTTGAGAGGTGTGGGTTAAGCAGGTCCCCCCATTCTGGTGGGCGCCCAGTGTGGCCGTCCCAGTGGGGACGGTGGCTCTCCAGACCGGAGCCCGCAGCGTGGCTCGCTGCACAGAGGCGGGTAGGCTCAGATTTTCACGGGGCTGAGGCATGCAAATAAGACCATAAAAATCCAGAGATGTATGAAAAGAAAATGAGGAATGCTGAAACAATTTTAGTTATTTAATTAGTTCCTGATTATCATAGGTTTGCTAAATGATTGCTCAAATGGCTGAAAGTGTGAGATGGTGGGGGAGGCTGGGGAAAGGAGACTGGTATTTTTTAAAATGCCACTGCCTAGAACACTTACATACTGGTAGAGACATTAGTCAGTGCCAGGCTAATGATGAGCCCGTGATGGATTCATGCTGCAATTGGATCTGTTTAAGCCTCAGGATTTTGTTCTAGTTGGAGAATCCCATTTCTCCCAGTCACATCTCATCTACGAACAGCCACAGTTGTGTGCAGTATTTCAATAAAGCAGTTTAAGGCAATTAAAAAGATGCTTTTTGCTGCTTAGCAGGAATCAAAAATAATTTCAGTGGAGTTGGAGATTCTGCAGTTTGAGTTCTGTCTCGGGTGTACTTTTTCCTTGATGGATCCATCTTCTGTTCTGTAAAAATGAGGAAAAACAGTTTTCCTCTACACCTCCACTGTTATTTTGTTGCTGTGTAGACTCAGGTAGTACACTGGCACTCTATTAAACATGTTCCTGTATCATCTCAGATCACTTTTGCTTTTTTATTAAAAATAATTAAGAATTTTGCATGCTTTTGCATTTAAAATTCTCATTCTTCACTAATGAGTATTAGTTTTGATTTTTCTGGAAAAGTTACTCTGAGGAATTAAATTAATTACTCAAATGATTTACTTTAACATAAATTGTAGAACTGTTATACTACTTGAAAGACATTAATTCATTTGATCTTCATTTAAAAACCATGAAGCTATTGCACCAATTGATATTCCTTGAGGTGAAAGGATCTAAGCTAGAAATACATTTGTTCAGGTTTGCACAGAATTAATAGGTCTAAATATTAAAATTTTTAATGTACAAAGAATGCAGTTAAAATAGCTTCAAGGGATGTAAGTTATAATGCAGACTTTTAAAAAGTAACTGTACAGAAAGCTCATTCCAGAAGAAACGGTGTTTATACAGTGTGGCACCAAGCAGCAAGATGAATCTGGAAGCCCTGAACATAGCTTTCAGGTAGGTCAGTAAAACTGAGATAACTGCTGTCTTGTCTCAAAAGGCATTTATTTTATCTTTCAGAAAATAGTTTAGCCATAATACCTTTTGAATAATAAAAATCATGTGAAATCCTTTGTAGTGATACTGAGCTCTGCTCAATTTGGAGCTCCTTATTCACAAGAAGTGTTACCCAATTTGTGATTTGATTAATATGTAATTCCATTAACTTGTGCTTAAAACATTGAATCACAAATAGAAAAGCTCCTAGCAATTCACTAAATTGCTTTAAAAATATGTAAAGGGTTAATTTACAGGTCAAATAATTTGAAGTATGCTCTGATCTAAAATTCCTATGAATTTCATCAAAGCAAATACTTGGGTATGGGTCACTGACCTTCACTAATACTTGTTCTGATCTACATAGGGACAAGTTTACTGAATTAAAAACATTGCTTAATTTATGTTCAGATTGCTAAATCGATTTCTTCATGGTCTATGGTAGAATTATTGCAGTTGTGCTTTGCATTTATAAAGGAAAAATAAGTCTTGAGGCCATAGACTGCAATATACAGCCCTTCTGCATGAGAAATTAACTCTTGCCGCAGCAGTGGTGTTATGTTTTCCTGATGCTCAGCCTTCCACCCCGCAAATATATGGGGTGTTCCTGAGAAGAGATTGGTTTGAAATATTCTTAGTCCCGATTAGGATAGTTAACGTGTGCATGCAGTCTAAAATTCCATGGGCATAGAATGAACTGAAATAGAAAACCTAATTTAAAAAAGGGACAATAGTAGTATTTAACCGAAAAGCTGCAATTTGCTTGGTCTGTATTAATTTTGGAGAATATGGCTGTCACTTTTACATTGTGAAACTTCTCACAGGCTGGTTCCAGAGGGTACTGGAAAGCTCTTGAAGCTTCTGGGTGCTGCACATGGACCTCTGTGGAGCTAGGAGGTGCGGCTTCCCAGGGTTGAACCTTTGGGGGAATAAATCCTGCTGAGTGGAATGTATGCCAAAATACATAAGTACTTGGAGCTCAGCACTCTGGGGTGATATTTTTGGACAGGTTTTACCTCTGCCTTCAGCAAGGCTGATTCCGTGATGAAGTTGGACATTTTAGAAGTGACCGTGTTTCATGAGCAGCTCTGCGCTGGCTTAGAAGGGGTTTGAGTTGCCTGTGAAGCACCAGGTTTTGCAATCTAGGGTCACCTTTCCTTTCTTGAAAGAAATTCTCAAAAATATAGCTGTGAGTCGTTGCCAGCATCTGTGAAGGGAGTTTCTAGTATGAGCACAACAGAAGAGACAAACAACCTGGATCTGAAATAACCCTGGAGTTCAGATTTGAGGGGGAACTTGGCCAGGAGATTCTGATGGAAAGCCAGTGGTACTACTCCACTCAGTCTCTACAGGGTTATCCGCACTAGTAGCTCAGACTCATTTTTTCAGCCTACTGGGGTATTTTACAAAAGCATCTTATTAAATATTGAAATTGGACAGCTAGCTTCTCCTGTTCCCTGCTTTCTGTGTGAAGCTGCTTTTCGGTATGTGCCAAAGCCAAGCTGTTTTTGCCATGGTTCTTGGGGCAAGTTTCTCGTCTCATCTCAACCCATGGTGCAGCAGAGCAGTGCTGCAGGTCTTCATCAGCGCTTCCAGGAGCGAGTCTCCAATCTGCTGCAGGGAGCTCCTCAAACACAAGTCAGCACAGCACCGAGCCTCAGAAATTAATTTCTGTGTTATGTTTTCCAGGGCACTGCTGGCAGGTAGCCTGAGCAATGTTGTCCTAGCTGGATAGTGTGAAAGTGGAGAATAATCCTGTGTTGAGGTACACGTGTAGTTGTTTTGTGCTGAATTATTAAAGGGAATAGTTGGATGTCACTGACAGCGGTTACAGTACCAACTGGCAGGCGGGCATCCTGTGGTCTGCTCTGGCCTACAGAACCAGAACTGCCCTGGGGTTTTGTAGAAATACTTGCTTTTATTTGTCTTTCATGCCATGCTCTGTTTTTGTCCCCCATTCTCCTATTGAAGAAATCTCATGAGACACCAGGAACATGTGCCCAGCACCCCGTGCTCCTGCGGGGATGAGAGCTGCCTCTCTGGGGAGGCTCCTCCAGCGCAGAGCTAACAAGTGATGCTGAGTGCTCACACGAGTACCAGTGGCTCTTGCAGATCTGAGCATGTTTACTTCTCCCTTTTCCGCGCTGCAAGGTATTCGTACCTCACTGATGCACCTTAACTGTCTGCTCCCTGTAAGGAGCAAGACACTGCTGGTGTGCAGGGGTGTATCGAATTTGGACTGTGACAGCACAGTTCAAGGGTAAACTAGACCAGCTTTGCCAGTATTTCAGTTCCTTAATAATTTTTACCCACTATGTTTGTTACCTTATCTGGCTTGTGCCTCAAATTATATCACCAATCTCAGTATCATGTAGTTATACCAATGTTTATTTTTATGCTAATGACTGTAGCAAACATGCTAATTTCTTTAAGGTACCACAACTTTCTTATTGGCATTTGGAAATTATTGGCTGTATAGGATATCCATCATTTGGCTTCTTCATTAGTTACTTGCATGACACTTGAGCTGCTTAAAATCTCCCAAGTAGTCACTTTAAACTTTACCATGACTGGGAACAGCTGGGTCATACCAGCCCCTCAGTGCCATCCTGCACAGGATAAAGCATCCTTCTGGAGTCCACTCACCGCCTCAACTGCACTTGTCCAGGAGTATCAATTATTGCTGAAATTCCTAATTGTCTTCAGATTCTTAAATATTGTTTCACTTACTGCGGCAGCTAAAGACCGCAGTTGGTTATTCCAAGCAGCGGGGGAGTCGTGGGGATGATTCTGTGCTCCTTCCCTCAGCAAAGTCATATTTCCTGATCTGACAGACTACGAGAGGAGTGCTTTGGGAAGCAAGGTACAAAATTGCAAAGGCTTTTGATAAAAGCTTTTGCTTATAATTCAAATAGAGGCATAATTTCAGAGCATGAGCTTGGAATAAGACAGGCACAGTGTATCAATTTTATATGCAGTTGAAGATCTAATATCCTGGTATTTATTTTAAGAATTATTATT